AACTATTTTTATAACTATGTCTAAACATAAATGATGATTCATGTTCACAAACTAAATGAGCATAAACATATGCATGAATATTCATTTTTACTAATGGATCATCAGTTATATATGTTGAATTAAATCGAACTATTGCTGATGTATTTTGATGTTGTTTACCCCAATTTGGACATTGTTCAAGACATTTTGTTGCTATTTCACGTGCAATTTTACTTGGACTTATTTCAGTTATATTTCGTTCTCGAAACATTTTCTTTATTGAATCACGTAATTGTGTACGAAGATTACTATAATCTTTACCATTATCAAATCCATGTGTACTAAACCATAGATCACTATTGAATGCTGTATCTTTTTCTGATCCATATTTTGATGAAGATTTTGCTCGAAGACTAAGACTTCTTTGAGTTCCTTCGGTATTATAGGATTTTTTGCTTGGTAAATCACTTGTATCCTTATGTGTATCACGAGAATCTATATCAGCCTTATCATTTCCAATGGTTTTAGCGTTATTGAAATTATGCTCACCACATTCTGCTTTTTTTGTTATTGCTTTTGGATCAAAATATTTGAGTAATGTACCAGGAATACGATTAAAAATTTCAATCGTTTTTCCATGAATTTCGACAGGCATGAAGGGTAAAACTTCATTGATTGTACTTGTGAAAAGAGACATCTTCTAATTGATGATATGTTTTGTAACTATCCACTTGGATAATATATAAAACCTACAATGTCTATTTGATTATAGTGAAAATAAATTTAGTTCCACTTACAGATGACTTTTTATATTCTTTAATGATAATATGAAGGTACAAGGTAAAATATATACATATACGTGCAAAAAACAATTTAATAGTATATGTAATTTTTTTTTGTTTTTTTATGGTCTAGAGATAACGAACGAATAGTGTGTCAGAAAACAAAATACCAGAAATAATTTACGTGTTTTTACGTTATTTATGCTTCATTGATTACTATAGAAAAACAAGGATAACCTTGAATTTAGTATGTTTTTCCTACCATATAATTCGCTTTATACCATAACGAAAAAGGGTAAAAGCCATACTATAAGGTTGTTTTTGAACACATATATATATATACAAAAATCTTACCTTTTTACCTTAATAGTTATATTGACTATTTGATATTATTCGACGTCATTTTCAAGGACAAGAAGTTATCTAAACAGAAAATTTCTATTGCTTTTATATTTTCGAATACAATCTTTAGCATATATCATCAATCAAGATGGCCTTAGCTATGTATACTGGTAATGAATTGGTAACTTTATTTTCTGCTGATGTTCGTGAGAAAGGAATGGAAATATTCAATCGTATACCTGGTACATTACTGAAATTTTTGGATGAAAAAAAAATAGTAAAAAAAATCTTATTTAAAGATGATATATTGGCTGTTGGTAAAATTATGGGTACTGAAAAACAAAAAGATTTAAATAATTTTAAGAAAAGTTTACGTGATTCAATTAAATCACGTTTTAAACAATCAAATGTAACAGAAATACAACCGGAAGATTTCAGTGAAGATATAACAACACATTATCGTGAACAATCAAAAACATGGGCTAAACCAGGTGAAAAATTATCAACAATTGTTCGTTATACAAAAGAATATCAAGTTAGAAATCTACAAAATTGGACCAAGGTTAATGCATATGTATATATACATATAATTGAAGAATGTGAAAATAATTGGTATGGAAATAATAATTATAAATTTGGTTATGATTTAACAATTGAATTAACTGGAATGTCAATAGATACAGCAAAAGCATTAAAATTCAGTCAATTAGTTGCTCAGGGTACTGTTTCAGATTCAATTCGAGCAATCGAAGCTCAAACGACATTAACATGGAGCGATTTGTAGAAAAAAAAACACGAAACTTCATGCTTATTTTACTTCTGTGATTATCTCCAATGAACATTTTACACAACATGACATTCATTTTGCTTCTTATTTTATTTCATTTCATTTCATTTGTAATCCTTATTGAAATAAAATAAAGATATCATATGGAATATCTATCATTTCAGTGATTAACAAAATTTTCTACAATTGTAAATTCATTGTACGTGTTCGAATATAAATAAGAAACAATATGATTCTTTTCTTGGAAAAACGTTCATCTTGACTTCTATGATAAAATATACAGAGTAGAAAAAATAAATGATATAACATAACCTAGTATCATAGTAAAGAGGAATTTATTGTTTCTTCTTCAATTATTCATCTGTGATCTTTTTTAATTCTATTATTACTTATTCTTTAACTATCGTTGTCATTTTGTCATTGTATATAAAAATAGTATCGTCTATTAGAATAAATCAAATATTTATTGTAATAGCGTTTATTGACATGAAAGCGTCTATGTATAAGGGTGCGAATGACGGTATATGTCGTTGATCACATCGGAGTACAGGTCAAGGTGAGGTTAAATGATGAAACAAATATATTTATCCCCAATCTGTCTCCACCTTATACCTTTCTTCTCATATCCACTCTCCACCTAGACTCACGGCGATATTTCAATATGCCTATAACTATATTCTAACAAAGAAGACGGTTGAATTTTTACTAATAGGAGATTTTTGTCATATATAATGTAACAAGCTTTTATTTTCATATCTCTAGCTATACTCTACTGCATATTATTCGAAAAGCTGTGATTTACAATGACACTAATAAAAGAAACTCCCTTTCTCTAACATATGTCTATTAAAAAAACATTTTTAATAATCAATACTTTGAAATAGTACTTACACTACAAATATTAATTTGATGAGATATTAAAAATGATAAACGTTTCTCAACGAAATGTTAATTACCGTATCTGGACACGCGTGAAGTATAATTTGTTTTTCAAAAATGTTAATATTAATGGACTTGCATAATGTTACATATTGACAACAAATATTTTTTTTACATAGAAAATACAAACCTTATACAGGCTTTTCTCACTGATTTTTCCTTGTATCTAATGACTTGTTATTTTGGTCATTTTAATAAACAAAATAAGATATTGAATTTAATAAATGCTTTATCTGACCATTTCGATTTTCATGTGAACATTAGAAAATAATTGAATTATTCATTATATTACAAGATTTTAAATCAATGTCATATGATTTTTTAAACATCCGCAAAAAGATATATTTTTTCCTCTATATTAATTAATAAAATTATCAAATATATTTTTTCAATTATGCCTTGCTTCCTTCATCGATATTGAGAGACCGTAACATTACACTAAATTGATTGTTATATTTTCAGATAGTTCAACAATAAATATTAAAGTAGAGCATCAATTAAGCATTTTATAACAGTAATAGTACTGATCTCAAATATGTAGCAATATCTATTATAACTATGAACAACAATAACTGATTTTCATTGGAAGTTTCGCATATATTCTTGATTTAGAAATTTATTTCCCTATAAAAAGAAAATAGGTACGTAATTGATTTCCACTGATTATTAATCGGTATACATTCATATTATTGAATCAATAGAACTTCTTATTGTATGTTTAAGTAAATAGGAATCTTCCGATTAATCAATAAAATATTTTCCTTTAAACAATGAACTGTTGATTATATTAATAAGAATAATTTTATTTCCTTCTTCTTTTTTATTATTTTTTTATCTTGAAAACAACAAACAACAAAACAAAAAGGTTTTTACATTGAATTTGTTGTTGTAGTCGATTGATATTTAAGAACGTGGTCGTTCTTTCTTTTCACGATATAATGCCCATAATGAAACATTAGCAACTTTAACGACTTTGAAACGAACACCCGGAATATCACCGACGGCATGACCTTTACGACCAAAACCAGCAATTAAAACTTCATCGTTTTCCTAATTTATATCATATGAATAAAAATATAATAATATTACAATAAAAATTAATTTACTTCGATATAATTGAGACAACCATCCCGAGGTACGAAAGCTGTGATCTTCTTGCCGTTTTTGATCAATTGAACACGAACACATTTACGAATAGCTGAGTTAGGCTGTTTAGCTTCAACACCACTACATTATAACAAAAAAATAAAAATAGAATATCATTGTTTTTTTCTTGGAGAAATCTAGATAACGTACACTTTTTCGAGGACAATGCCTTTAGCATGTGAGGCACCGGCGAATGGATTACTTTTCCATCGTGTACCCAAGTGAGATTTTTTGTAATCTTTATCGTGCCATCGTTGTTCACGACGATGATCTTTAAGTTTACGAGCTGTACGAAGACCACGAGGTTTACCTATATAAAACAAATAAATATAAATTAATTGAAAGTGCAAAAATATTTCTTTATTATACCCATTTTATTGAGATGACGTCAAGGATCTAACTGTTATCTAAAAATGAAAAGAAAGACACTAATAGTCACTGAACTATTTATTGGAGAAGTAATTTCGAAAAATAAAATTGTCTTCTTCTTGTTTATTTACAAGATATATAAAAAAGGAAGCAATCAGAACGTACCATTGTATTCGAATTGGAGGCTCATATAGATGTCGCTTGATAAAATTCTAAACAATAATATTTGATTAGTTGAAGATTCCTATCAAATATATTTTTCCATTTGAACAAATTCATACATGCTGCAAAAAAATCTCTTAGTCGAATATTGACATTAATTTTTTGTTTTCTTTTTTTACGATTACCAGCAAATTTGAATTTTTACAGGGTTTCTTCTTGCAAGGCACTTTTATACATAATAAATTTCTTTTTCTTTTTCCTTCTGTTTTTTTTTGACGAAATAAAGTAACCCTAAAATGTAAACATACTTAGTAAAGACTTTGTATTTATAAATTGAAATTTTAGATGAAATTGATTTTCTAAATTTATTTTGTGATATGATGTAAGTATGAAAATATTTATACGAACAAAAAAAATGAACTAATGTATATAGCGAACTTTCTTTTTTTTTTATTTTGAATTTCCTATTAAATTTAGATCTTCTTTTGTAAAATATGTTACCAACAAGTCAAACATCAACACGAACTTTAATACCAATCAATGTTGAAACATTAGTTGGAACATCATTTGAATTACTTGTATCACCTTATGAACAAATTCAATCTATAAAACGTAAAATTGAACGACGTGAAGGTATACCAAGTTTACAACAACATTTGGTATTTAAAACTGATGAACTTGAAGATGAATCATGTTTAAATGATTATAATATTGAAGCTGGTACAACAATAAAACTTGTTTTGGATATGCGTGGTGGACCTGTTAATACAAAACGTGTATTAATTGAAGATAATTTAATAAGAGATATGTCAGAATATATTGAAAATAGTCAAGATGATTATGGAATTAGTAATGATTTATTACCATCGTCATCATCGTCGTCATCAAATAAAAATGTTACATTTCTTGTTTTACGTGATGGTGATCAATTTAATTTTTTTCAAGTTCTTGATAGAGGCGATGGAACCCTCTCACCTTTATCTGGTTCAATAAGGTAATTGATTATTTTATTTTTTGAAGAGTCATATATATTTATATTTAGTGCTGGATCAATGTATAATACTCATGATCCAATAATAGTTGAATCTGAACGTAAATATGATGAAAAAAGACAAGACGATGATCGTAAAACAAAACAAAAAATGGAATTAATTCGTTCAAAACTAAAAACACATGCAAGAAAAGTAACATAACAAAAAAAATTTATTAGTTTTATAGCAAAGAGAAAATTGATGAGCAAAAAAGATATGATAGAAAATAAATCATTATTTATTGGTGATCTCTAGAGATTTTTTCTTTATTTGTCTAAACCAATGCCATTCATTAGGGAATAATAACCTTGAACTTTGTCATTACTATGAATAGATAGAGCTATGAATAAATATGGATATCAAAAAAAAAGAAAACGAAATGTTCAAATAACTTATTGATTTTTCGTTTGTTTTTTTTTCAAAGGATATTCTTCCACCTCGACCACCTTCATCATCAAAACAAATAAAAGCAAATATAAATCATCATCATCAGCATCGTCGTATTAATCCGATTGAAACAAATTCG